CCAGATCTCTGGTTTTACATCCTTCACAGCTGCAAACTTAGTATGAGCAGATACTGCTCATACCACCGGTAAGCCAACAGGCTTAATTGACATAACCCGCATGTTAGCGGGTATGATGTTCTCTGCTGGGACATCTTCAACATCTTCAATGTTGGCAGACTCATGTATTGGAGGATGATCAAACTCTTCATCCTCCAGGTCATAGTCACCTGTATCATCCTCAGGATGAAGATCATTGGGTTCATCATCTAGACGAGGTCCCATCAACATGGCATGTATGCCATCATCCTTGAGGATGTATTCCAAACCCCCAATCATTTTGGGTGCTGCGAGATGCACACCTCTTTATTGAGGGCAAGTATTTGCCCAATGACCAGACTTGTCACAAATGTAACAAGTCAGGCCTCCCCCAGACTGCAGTTGTTTTGACTTATTGTCAATGGGACAAACATTGTCCCTTTTGACTCCCCCAGATATACCAGGGGTTGGAGGTCTCCTCCCGTAGTTTATGGGATATGTCTCTTTCTTGGGAGTTACTCCCTTCTCCATGGGAGCCCCTCTAGAGGGGCCAGCTCCCGGTTTGGGTGTTTCTGGGTGCCTAACCTCATATTGTCTCAGATGATATGACTGGTTAGGTTGAGGATATGATCTCCTCACAGGTATTGAACTACCTGTTGTCGTCCCTCTATAGGGGGACAATGTTTTAGACATATTCCTATATGCCCATAACCCTTGTGCCATGTTGAGTCCTCTCTCAGACTCAATGGCATGAGTAAACAACATATCAAACATCTTGTTATCAATGTCGTAACCCAACTCAAGCACTCTGGTGCTTATCTCTTTGTTCAATCCAAAGAGGAACCTCCTTTTAATTTGGAAGTCCTTAGGATGCTCATGCATCCTACCCATTATGGACATTAATTTGTCCTTATACACTTCAACAGTGTCTTGTCCTTGTGACAAGCTGTTGAAAGCACCATATGCTTTCAATGTTTCTTCTGCTGAGAAGAAGTGATTATATAATCCCCAGATCATCTGGGAAACCGTCCATTGATCTCTAGGTATTTACCTAGATCAATGTTTTGCTCTACCCAATGGTGAGCTTTGTTAGTCACATGTTGACTGGTATAAGTGATTTGCCAATCACTAAAGTCAGGCCTGGTCATTCTGGCCATGCAAAATGCATGTACCAGCATTGCAAGAAATTCGATGAATTTCTCTATGTCTGCTTCACCTCCATAGGAGGTTTCCAAAGCCTTAGGCTTCAATCTCGTCTTGGAAGATAGAATATGATTATTTACAGGCATCCTAGACATCTGTAACCATCTATCTACCCTCCACATGGGAGTGGTGGGAATTGTCAATCCTCCTAGGAGATCATCTTTGCTCCTAAACATAGGAGTGTGTAAGGTCCATGAGTAGTGGACCTTTGGTTTGAATGTGTGGAACTGTTGGGAAGGTCCCCAAATGGGAACTTTGGTGTGTATGGACCCTCTTGGTCCAAATCAAAATGAACATTTGGAGAGGGCTCTTTCCTCATCTCCATACTGGGAGGAGTGGGAGGGACTCTTAATGGAGTTTCTTCAATCTCAGTAGCATCCTTTAGGGATACTCTCTCAGGATCTGCCTTGGATCCTTCTTCCCCAGAAGGGATTTGTGAATGTGGCAAGTTAGGCAATGTCTGCAATCCCATCCCAGATTGGGAGAGACTTGGTTGTGGCCTGAAGCCATAGACCACATCTTCCATACAGAGACTCAACATCTCCCATGCCATCTCTGCCTACCTCTGTATGCATTCTGGGCTCTGACTAGCCATAGCCAGAGTATTTAGCTCTGCAATCAAGCATTGCAAAGAGCCTGCAATGTCAAGCATCTGACTCAAATCTGCACAGGGGTCTAGTTGATCCCCTGTTTCAATCAGACCAGTTACTATCTGACTATTGCTTCTATTTGAAGCACCATTGGCCAAGGAATCCTTGTCCAATAGCATATTGGAATCCTCAGTTTCCATTCGCTCTCTTTGAGCTGGAGCAGCAAGATCAGCACTTTGATCTCTTTGTGTGGGTTCCTGTTGCCCAGAAACCCATTCTGAACTATTTTCGAGTTCAGAAAAACTTGAAGATCCTGGTACAGTTGTGGGAGTATCCACAACTCCAGGTCCTGAGCTGCCTTTAGGACCAACCTTGGTCTTTCTACTGGGCGGAGGGTGTCCCACCATTTTTCAGCTGGTCTCCATAATATGGAGACTAGGATCTGACATGAAGCACTTTTCACTCTAATCCTTTATGAACTCCACTTGTTGGAGATGAGTAAAAAAGTGAAAGGGCTTAAGGTGCCCTTATGCCCTCAATATGTACATGGGACAAATGTATTACTAGCTAGTAGTAATACATGCTTGTAGTAAAAGGGATGGAGAGAATGGTGGCCTACAGCCACCTGCTATGTGTCAGTCCAAGGATGATCATGATCACCTCTGCAAGGTGATCCTACCTAAAAAAGGAAAGGATGGGGTCATATACGGACCCTTACACAAATCCAGGAGGCAAGAGGATACTGCAATGACTGAGATAACCAGATAGATGACGGATGAGAGGTGCTGAAGCAGAGAACAATGACAACAATGGCAGTCAGGGGTTTGAGACCTTATGCATTACTGGCAATTGGCTTGACCCTTGGAGGCAAACGGGATTAGATTAGTCAGCTATTAGTCAGCTCTGCGCGCGCCCGCAGAGCCTGTGTCACGAAACTCAGAGCTAGTGAAGACGGGTGCTGAAGAACACGTGCCTGAGACTCCTTCCCTCTTCTCATCATTAGCGCTCAAAAAACTAGCGCTCAAAAGCATCTTGGATGATATTATCTCCCTGTAGTCTAGTCATACAGTCTCCGCCTCGACCAGCCATCGTCCCTGTTGCCTCATCCATCCGCCGTTCATCCGTCCCTGTCTCGCCTCCTCTGTCCGTCCCTGTCAAAACCATCCGACATGCCTCCGACACCCTCCCTTTCAACGAGGCTTGCTCCTATTTTTGTTGCACAACAGTAAGGTTTGCCAGCCCTCCCTATCCCTTTGTTCTTTCATAACGAATCCGACTAACCGCATCAACTCCGAAAAAGATGGGTCGGGTTGGGATATCAATGCGGACCAGCCTGAACCCTTCCGACTCAGGCTCATTTCCTTGAGGAGGCGAAACATGCTTTCTCCCGGTCCGGTCTATGGTGAACGCGTCGGACATGGATGGCGCGGAGCTGGGTTGACGTGGATGAGGATGAGGGAGAAGGAGAGGGCTATCTGGACGATGCTTGCTTCTTGTTCTTGCTCTCCTGTACTGCTACTCTGCTCTGGGGTTCGTACACTAACACTGGAGCTCGACATCGACATCGACAACCGTTTGTGATCTCGCTGCTTTCCAACATACGATCGACAGGTTGGAGTGATCTAGCTCCCCTGGGTAGTCAACGTCTTTACCGACTAGGCCGTGCTGCAAAGTCTTTAGTCCTGGTCTACCCGGACATCTTGCTGTCCCACGATTCCCTTGCGTCTGCACAACAATCACAATGCCTGTCCATGCTCATGGTCACGGTTCAACACTGGCACGATACCACTCCTACTACATTCCACCATTCGCCCTCCCCCTCTACTTCATCTTCCTCCTGCTTGGTGCCTCCCTCCTCATCGCGCTTATCATCACCCTCGCCCTCGTCCGGCCCTTACACAGAACAGCGACGTTGCTGAACCTCTGCGTCGCGTGGGTCGCGGTACCGCTCATGCTGAGCTTCTTGTGAGTGCTCTCGTTCCGTTTCTGGAGGAGAGGAACGGCATTGACGTCGTTGGCAGGCTGTTTGCAGGCCAAGTAAACAACCCCCAGCCCAGCTTCCCAGTCTGCCTCACCTCCGCCGCCCTCGCCCTGGGCGCATCCCCGCTGTAAGCTCTTTTCTTCCTCTCCTCCTGAGAAATTCAGATCTAATAAGACCCAGAGGAGGTTTCGCAGCAAGTAGTATGGTATTCCAGATATTTCTGCTTGTTGTGCATCCTATTAGGATGGGGGACAACGACCGGTGGGTGACTCTTGCTGTAAGTCCCACTCTAGCTTCTTCCTGCAACCCGACTGAGTTGATCAGTTGGTAGCGTTTCCGTGGGTTGCGGGGCTGGCGTACCTAATCGCTACACTTGGTGTACGTCCCCTCCACCTCCCATTTGCACAGAACAGAAACTGACGGTCTTAGGTTGGCCTGGCTCACCCCAACCTCGTAATCCGGAGCAAATTCTACTGTATCCTCGCCTCCGACCCAATGTACGTCCCCGACCCCCATCCTCCGTCCTTCCTCACTCTGACATTGCATTGCATGCAACCAGAACCAGCGCCAGCTCAGCAATGATAATCTTCGCGATGGTGCTCTCCGTCCTCCTCATCCTTACTATAATCCTCAAAGTCTACCGGACGCCACTGCGCCGCCCCTCCCCGCCTCCTCCCTCACACACCGCATCCGCCCATACCCCACGCATAAAATCCAACCTCCTAGACTTGCAGCTCTGTCTCCGCCTGCTCATCTTCGGCGGGTACGTCCTCTTCGCCATCTTCGCTGGAATAGTCGCATTCTGGAACTACGCAAGTCTCGTGCCGGATCTCGTACTGTCCACAGTACCGATAGCGGTGTTTTGTATATTTGCAAGTCAGAGGGACGTCTTGCGCGCTTGGGGGATCGGGCGAAAAACAGATCGGGGCGAGAGGGGAGAGAGCATGAGAGGCTCGCAGCGCCAGAGTACGGGGAGTGAGCGCAAGCCCCCGTCCGTGTCGAATGATCCCCTTGCAGAGCTGGACGTGCTGGAGATGGGCGCAGGAGCCCCTGTCTCCCCTTCACTTTCTGTCGACGCTGCAACGCCGGACAGCACACTCGTCGGCACTTCTCTCGGGTGCCCACTTACACCGGTTCTGGATGACCCTCACCCGGAGAAGCACCAAGGGATGCAGGGAGAAGAGGAAGTGGATCTGGCGGACGAAGAGTTGGAGCCGCCTTGTTTGGGAGAGGAACGGGTCAGAAGGTCGAGTTTCACCAGAACACCGGAGGATGATAGGTTTGTGCTGAGGTCGTAGTCTGCATGGTCGTGGATCGTCGTGGGTAGCCGCTGATGAGGACTTATTATGATTCACTAGGCTGATGAGGTCCAATATATCCGAACATCTGTAAATCCAAAGACAAACGTCTGACAGAATCCCATTGAATACTCCCCTCTTCTTGCTCTTCTCTCGTACTCCATCCCCTCCACCTCGCTCTTCTCCGGCCTTCCCAAGCGGCCGATTCCTCGCTTCCTCATACGTCGACTGTGCAACCTCCTCTCCTTACCCAAGGCCTTCTCCTTGACTTCGTGAAAGCCCCTGAGATGACCTCAGGAGCGTTGATCCGGTGCCGGTGAGATCCCCATAGGCATACCAAATCGTACATCGGCAGCATCTATCGACTGTTATCAATGTCCACCAATATCAATTCATCGACTCCACTCCGTTAAACAATTTCACTCTCACCGGCCGCAAACCCATGCCATCAACCCGGCGATCCCCCCTGCCTCCTCTCACCACGGGACAATCCATCTGGATACAGTATGGCAAGGTACGTCCTTGTTCATCCACATCACCTCATGCTCACCGTGTTACAGGTGCTGGTTCCCAGCTCACCGCCTGCTTAGAGGAGGAGCCAAGCAAGTCAGAGCTCCATGAGTGGACTTCACCATATGTTGTCCTTCAGGTGTGCACAAACTCAGGCTGATATGCTTACCGGCACTTGTCCGCACTCTGAACCCGCACCGAATGGGCTGGGTGAAAGATGGGCAGCAGGGCCAGCATTGGTTTTGTTCATGTAAGTGCTCCTTCTCAGCTGGGTTAGCTGGTTCTAATTCCTTATAGGCGCTTGTCTGCACTCCTAACCCATGCCGACCGTGCTGGGTATGAGGCTGTTGTGCATTGTTCTTCACAGCTGAACAAACCTGGTACTGATATTATTCCAGTTGGTGGTCACCAGCTGCCTGCATTGCATGCAGAAGGAGAGGGGATGTTGGGCAGCTTGACCCCGGTCTTATGATATGCTGTTGTCTAGATCTGCACAGACTCCTGCTGATAATTTTGTTGGCACTCATCGCCCACTGTTAGCCCGAGTCAAGGGTGGGGGGTGGGGAAGGGTTCCAGGCATTGCACTGTAAGGTAGGTGTTCTTACAGCCTCCACCTTGCTGCCAACCACCTCATTGTGCCTGTTTTCCCCAAGCTGACCCTGCCCCAGCTGCACAAGCTCATCCTCAATGTAGAATCCCTCATTCCACTTCTCACCAACCCACACACTCTGCACAAAGACTACACCTTCTCCAAGAGAGGATTTGGGTGAGCTGGCTTTGAAGAAATTGCAGTTGGACCCATGTTCAGTACATCACCCTGTCCCATCCATCAGCGTTGACCATCAACATGCACTTGATCACATTGCCTGTGGTCATGCCTGCAACTACATTGCCTTTGAGCATGTGGGTATCTTCCAGCTTCCAAGCAGTGAATTAAGATGACTGTATGTCTCAGAGAGGGTGATGTGCTGAGCTGGTGCTGATCAGATGCTAGACATGCAGTGGAGCAGCATGATCTGGGGCTCCATCCCTTGGAAGTCAACATGATACAGCTGCAGGCTTTGCAGGATTACTGTGAGGGCACACCACAATAACAAGGCTACTGCGGGGGCTAGAAGCAACAGATGGGGGGGGCAAGGAGGGCGTTGTAGGGAGGGAGTAGAGTTGATACAGAGTGTATTGATCGAGTGCCTAAAGGATTACAGTGGTGGAGAATCCTCAGAGACCCAATCTGAGGAGAAAGAGGCCCTAAAGGCTCTATATAAATACTCCCGTGGCATAAGGCTGATGAGTCTTAGTAGGAACAGCTGCCTAGGAGTAAGCATGGGCACAGGCATCATGGAACACCATGGAACAAAGTGTTAGGGCAACACAGGCTGACTAAGTCTGCTCACCTAAGAGTGCCAAGAGTCTAAGCAGGCAACAAGGAAGTGGAGTAGACCTGATGACTAAGACCTATCTACAGTATAGGTACCTGTGGATGATCCTAAGAGACCAAGTCTGAAGAGACAGTCCCAGGCAGAGTAGGCCTTATATTTATACCTCTGTGGTGGAACCTGCTAGAACATCTTGCTTACTCAGCCTAGTCAGGTGATCAGGTCATATGACCAAGGATGAGGTCATATGAGGTCATGCACAGCCATGCACAGCAGGTCACCTGACCATCCAATCCTTCCAGCAGGTTCCAGCACATGCCAAGGTATACCAGCTACTTCCATGTCATAAAGGCTTAGTCATGTCTCTTGACCAACCAATGAGCTGGTGCCCTGACAGATTGACCCTAAACTGCTAAGTAATGCCTTAGCACCATACAGCATGCTTGCTCTAACTTCAACAACATCAGCAGTGAACCTCCTAGCCACTTTCCCTGTGTTTGGCTCCTCCCTTGCTGCTCCAGCACCAAGCATGATTGCACCCTTAAGAGTGAGGAGCTTATTGATGACTTCAAGGCCTGTACTGTGTGCCCAGATTGCCAGCCAGCTCTGGAGCACATACAGCTTGTGCAGCTTGTCCGTAATGCTCAGCATGCTGTGATTTGCTGCATACCTGTTGCATGCATAGGCTGGAGGATGACCTGTGTCCCAAGATCAGAACTGTGTTGTGCTCCAGTGTCTAGGCAGTGTATGAGCTTGCACACATCTGTGAGCCCCATGTTGAGCCCTTGCCCAGCCAATGGGTGGCATGTGTGTGCCATGTCCCCTACTAGGGCTGTGCAGCCTCTGCCTTGGGAGGAAGAGCCAAGGTAGGAATTGTGCATTAGCTGGAGGGGGAAGGAGGTGACTGTCCCCTTTTGGAGGGAATGGATGAGCAGAGGGAAGGAGTCTGATTCTTCTGCTGCGATGCTGATAGTTGTCTGGAGTGAGGAGAGAGTGGAGGAGGCATCAATTGAGTGCACTTGCCCATGGAACAAGACTTCCTCTTCAGCCTGGGAAGCAGTGAGAGGCATTCCTGAGGTGTGCAATTCGAGCAGGATGGTGTTGAGGTAGTTTAGCAAGAGTCAGGGGAGGCAGAAGGCAGCATTTATGTATGTTGCTAGGGTAGCAGGGTTGAGTTGTCTCAGAGCAGCAGCAAGCTCTGGCCGGGTACTCCAGACAAGGGAGGCAGCAGTTGGTGACAGAGGGAGGAAAGTGATTGGCCCTGTGGGGAAAAATTGCTGGAAGGTGGTCATGTTGGGCAGGCCTAGAGGGTGTGGGGGGTGAAAGAAGGGTGGCTTTGCAGCCTGTGCCATCCTCTGTTTGGTGCTTGTTTGTTACCCCATCCCCCCAAACTCTTCACTGCCAGTGCATCATCTTGCTCCTCAACCACCACCTATCTCCTCTCTTCTCACTCTCCTCTCATTTGCTAATCCTCTCAATTGTTAACATCTGGCTTGATGTCCTCCTCTGTTGCTATAGAGATGTCACCCTTGGGCACTGGGGAGCAGACCAACACACCTCCCATGCAGGTTCCACCTAGCCCCAATGCTTTCAGCACCTCTTCAGGAGAAGAGGTGCCTGCCCATCAAAGTCAAGGAAAAATTCATGACAGCACTAGCGAACCTCCTGCAACTGGCAGCAACTACAAAGCAGGTGAACCTGCAGATGGTCCCATCTTCATTGATCCACTTCCTGACAAATCGGAAACTGCCAAAATCTGGTGCACATATGTAAAAGAAGCAGACAAGCATCCTCACATGCTGTTGAAACAGTGGAGCAATGGTATTGACAATTTCCTGCTCTTTGTGTGTTCATCTTTTGATTATCACCCCAATCAATCTGACTGACTGACAAACCAGCTTGTTCTTGGCAATCCTTTCTGCATTCCTTGTCATTGCTTAGTCCTCTCTCCAGCCTGATTCATCTCAAATCACCTCAGATGCCCTGGTCATAATCTCTCAGCAATTGATTCTCATGTCTTCTGGATAGCCAATGGTTGCTTCTGCTGCCTATCAGCCTACCAACTTCTCTCCCCCCATCTGGGTGGTTGCCATCAATTGCCTGTGGTTCACAAGCCTCTTTCTTAGCTTGCTTACTGCCATCCTTGCTATGTTAGTCAAGGAATGGTTGGCTGCCTATAACTGACATCCTCTGATGGTACCATTGTAGTGTGCAAAGCAGCATCAACTGCACTATGACAGTCTGATCAAGTGGAACATGCCATTGATCATCACATTTCTGCCACTTGCCATCCATGTTGCCATATTCCTTTTCCTGGTCAGCTTGGTGATATTTGCTTTTCCTGTCAGCCTTCTACTTTTTGCACTCATGCTCATTCTGTTTGTGGTTGGCTTTGGGCTATATGTTATCTCTGTGGTACTGCCTCTTTCTTATCCAGAGTGCCCATCTTGATCTCCCCTCATTTCTGTGTTACAAGCAATCAAGCAAAGTGCTTGAGTTGACCCAGAGCAGTCAGCTCTAGAAGACAACAATGACATGTTGCAGGCAAAGGTGGTCAAATGGATGACCCAATCAGCAGATCCTGAAGTTCAAGAATCTGCTCTTGTCTTTCTTTCACAGTGGAGGCCAAGAGCAAGCTGTTGGCAGAACATCCAGGGTGATGTGTCTGGTTCTGCCATTTGAGCAGTGATAAATGGAACACTAGTACCCTTGTCTAAGTCACAGGAGCAAAAAGAGAGACTTCTGTTGATGTCAGCCCTGGTTGAATTCTGGATAGAAACCATTCACATGCAAAGACATCCACCATGGGACCTCTCACGGCTTCCACTCACTCTACAGGGTCATATGTTTAACCATTGTCAGGTGCTTTTGGAGCTGTTTTCTATTCAACTCATTGCTGGTGAGACAATGGATCCTTTATTGATGATGGAGGCTGTCACTGAGTTCATCCATTCAGTTGATTCCACAAGCTGCCAAGGAATCCGACAGTTGCTGGGCAGTGAGATTAGCCATGTGGCCCTGCATTTACTGGCACCTGGTGACCTCAAGGACTATCAGTGCTGTGAGTCTGATACATGGACTGACCAGTATGCAATCTGGAGGGATCATTTGGTGGACACTGTGGAGATGATTGCCTTCAATCCCAGGACAGCCTGCAAGATGCCAGACCTTCAATGGGCGATGATTCAATGCCTGAGTGTGACATTGAAAGATGACCTTTTTCATTTTGGCAAGTATGATGTCTTCTGAATGCTCCACACTGTGGGACTGCTTCTAGTCCAGCTGAGCATGGATCACCAAGTGCAAGATGATCTCAATGACCTCCTACCTGGCTTGCAAGAATATTTTTTGCACCATGCCATGCCGCAACTCTTCGGCAAGTCTGAACTCTCTGTGGCTGGGAATGCTGTAACCTGGCTACACCATGACACTGTTCCAGTTCAGGCAGTTTTGCACAGATGAACTGAACCATAAGGAGCCAATTGGAGTTATACAGAGTACCATGGATTTGTAAAAGGAATGGCTGAGAAGTTTGAGTCTCACCACAATGCCTGGGCATGGTTGGTTGTTCTTACTGATGTTGCATCGGCATGCTACATAGTATATCATCATCAGTAGTTGCAAAGAACCATTTTTATCATATGCTCTGAATCCAATACATCCAAACGTCTGTAGAAATATCTACACTGAGATACAAACACCTGGAAAAATATACTCAATGTTTCCCACCTCCTCTTCCATGGCTTGCAGTGTATCCATCTCACTCTGCTCCTCCCCAACATTCCCAAATGCACTGATGCCTCTGCCCTCTGCCAACTCACTTAAAAAGGAATCACCTGCTTCACCTTCTCTACAGGAGAGAGGCGCCAACCTCTACTAATGCAGCTTGGGATCTGGCATGCAGTTGGCTGGATTTGCCAAGGAATGGTGGCAACTAGCAGAAGTTACACTAGCATTGGTGCATTGGTAGAGGGGAAGGCATATCCAAAGATTGCCATCCTGGGGGAGGCGACTAATGTCTTCCCCCAGCTCCCTCTCATGGAAAGTGTTCACCCCTGCCCACAATCAGCTCACAGCCACCATGATCATTAAGAAGGGGATGTACACCTCCACATGGAGGGACATGATGACATTGATTGGACATCGTCCTCACTCTTGAGGGCATTGTACATGTGTTCTGGTTTCAGTTTTGTCCCATTCTCTGATACTACCAAAATGCATATTTCCAAGTCATGTAGCAGACAAGGGAGACAAGAGGAGGACTGATGGCTGATTGGTGAATGCTGAACCCCGGATTAACTTATCCCCGAGCCGGAGGCGGATGAGCATTGTGCCGAAGTAACCGGTGTTCCCGTGGGGGGGATGAACAGATTACTCTGCACGGCGAGGATGTAAGCTGCTGGATTTTGACTGCTTGACTTGTTACCATCTCGTTCTTCATTTATTATCTGTCTACTTGGTGCATTGTAATTGAGCAGAATGGCAAACCCGTTGGAGAAAGCAGTGGGGTACGAACTCCCTCGTCAGCCTGTATGAGCCATCACCTCATCACCAACGTAGCACCTGACACCAGTTATACACAGGTCGGCTGGACGAAACGCGACCTTCTCACTTATGCCGTAGGAATAGGCGCAAAGAAGGATGATTTCCCCTTCGTGTACGGTACGCCTTCTCCTGTACTCTCTGAGTCCTGCTGATGGACACAGAACTGCACCCGCAATTCGCACCTTTCCCCACGTATCCCGTCGTCCTCTCTCTCAAAGGTGTGCATCTGTCTCACCTCACCATTTCATAACCGCTAATTCAGCATGCAGGAGACGCGGAAGATGTGACGGACTTCAGCAAGATCCTGGGTCAGGACAACGTGCCCGGGTTGCCGACGTTCAACCCCGAGCGAGCAGTCCACGGGAGCATGTCTATCCAGCTCTTGCGTCCTCTTCCTGTAGAGACCGGGAAAGGGTGGGCGATGAAGAGAAGGATCTCGGGAGTGCATGAGAATAGTGCGTCTGATGCTTTGTTATTCTGCGTGTGTGGGCTCTGAGGAAAGCCAGAATCGGGGATTGTGGTGGATATGGAAATGGTGCTTGTCGATCCGCAGGGAACAGAGTACGCGAAGATGATCGTGCGTCCCCTCCTCCAATCCCCAGTTCCTCTGCTCACATGTACAAGACGTCATCATTCAACGTTGGCGCACGCACCCTCGGGCCATTCTCCAAGTCTCTCAGCTCTACCCCGCGGGGCAAGCCCGTGCCCAAAGATCGTGCGCCGAACTGGGTTGTTAGCGAGAAGACGTCGGAGGAACAAGCCCTGGTGTATCGCTTGAGCGGAGATTATAACCCTTTGCATATCGGTGCGTCTCTTCCCTTGTGTGATTTGTCCTTTCTCTACCATCCCATACCTGCTTCTCCCCTTCTTTTCTCCTTCATACCAAGTTCCCAACAGTCGCCTAACCCTTACCCAGACCCAAGCATAGGCGCGAAGATGCCTTTCGGCGGTGTGATCCTCCACGGCCTGTCAACATACGGTTTCGCAGCCCGTGCGGTCCTCCGCTCGGTAGGAGGGAACGATCCCCAAGCGCTGAAGGCGTTCTCGGTCAGGTTTACGGCACCTGTCAAACCTGGAGGTATGTAATTTTGTATTTCTTTTGATCGTCTTGGTGTGTCTATCCCGAACTCTATCCCGAACCCCCTTGTTGCGAGTGCCGTCACGAACCAGCCGAATCCTACCACGGATTCTAATACCAACCCCGAGTCCCAGAACTGCGAGCGCCATCCCGAACTGCATTCCCAGCCCTGTTGTCTGCACTTGTGCCCCGACCGCTACTTCCACCTATCCCGAACGCTATCCTCAACCCCCCTGTCTGCGGCCCTACCTCGAACCCTATACCGAACCCCCCTGTCTTCACTTTCTCGACGCCCTATTATTCCCCCTTTCATCCCCCTGAAGATACATCCAATGCTAACATTATTGTACAGACACCCTCGAAACGAGCATCTGGGAGCTCGGCCCTGGTCCCCAAGGCACCGAGTTGGTCGCGTTCGTCACCAAGGTGAAGGAGACGGGCAAAGTTTGCCTGGGCAATGGAGTGGCTTGGGTCTTGAAGGGAAAGGTGAAGGGAAAGCTTTGATCGGTCTGATGTAGTTGTCTCACTTACAAGGTGGATATATGCTCTGAGGAATACGATCGAATCATCTCCGATGAAAGGCCCGAGTGTGAGCACGTGATACTCATGGTTGCCTGACGCATTCCTCGTGTGAACAAGCATGACTACGCCAACACGGCTCTCTCCGCAACAACCATGTCATTAATAGTCCAATTCACCCCTTTCTCATCCACCGTCCATCCCTCCTTCTGGCACGCGCTCACTCAGTTCAAACTCGATGTGCTCAAGCTTGATGCGCCGTCTGTCCCTATTCGGGCGTCCTACTCTGCGGGGAAGACCGTGGTTGACAGGGAAACGGGCAAGGAGGTTGGGTTAGGATGCCATTTGTTACTCGGGGAGGATGCGTTCGACTTGGATGCTAAGTGAGTGCAAGTGCATGATAGAGACAAAGCTCTGAGGGTATGCCGCGACAGACCAGCGAAACACGCGGTCAGCATTAGGGGCACACTGATCAACTTCAACACTATCGAGGAGTTCAAGTCGAGCGATAAGACCGCCCTCTTCAATACCGTTACCGACAAGCTCTGGTCTACCGTCTCCAGCGGCTCGATCTCTAGCTCGCCGGATACACAGCTCAACACGTTCCTACTGATCACTTTTGCGGACCTGAAGAAGTACAAGTACTATTACTGGTTTGCGTTCCCGGCGTTTATGGCTAGTCCGCTCTGGGAGATATCAGAGGCAGGGTGGGGGATGGCGGAGGACGTACTGGGTGGAGAGGGACTGGAAGGGGTGTGGGAGGGGCTGACAGCGCTGGAGACCGAGGGAGGAGCAGAAGGGGCATGGCTTGTGAAGAAGGGTAAAAATGGGTGTGAAGTAGGGAGGGTGGATCAGTGGGAGGAGTTCTTCAAAGACGTGCCAGAACAAGTGCGTTGCTGCAAAGCTGCGTCTTGTGCTCGAGCTCATCACTGAGCAGAATCAAGTCGTCGCGTTCCTCGATCCTTCAGCTACTCACAACCCCGGCTGGCCACTCCGAAACCTCCTCTCGCACCTTAGGGCCCTTCACCCATCCCGTCCATCAGCATTCAACATCCTATGCTGGAGGGACAGCGAGCGTCCTCTAGCTGGGAAACGCTGGGCGAGCCGGTATGGACGGATCAGCCTTCCTGGTGCTGCTGGGCAAGCGCAGGGAAAGAGGCCAGCAGCAGTAGGTTGGGAGAGGAACGTTCAGGGAAAGCTTGGTCCAAAACTGGCAGACTTGGCGCCAATGATGGACCCAACTCGGTTCGTCCACCCGTCTCCTACAGAAGCTAGTCTGATATTGTTTCTCCAGGCTTGCAAACCAAGCTGTGGACCTCAACCTCAAGCTCATGCGATGGCGCATTCTCCCCGACCTCGATCTCGACCGTATCTCCTCCACCCGCTGTCTCCTACTCGGCGCCGGCACACTAGGATGCTACGTCGCCCGCACCCTGATGGGCTGGGGCGTGCGCACTATAACACTGGTCGATTCTGGCCGAGTGTCATTCTCTAACCCCGTCCGCCAGCCCTTGTTCGATTTTGAGGACTGTCTTGATGGCGGCAAGCCGAAGGCCGCGTGTGCGGCTGAACACTTGCGTAAGATCTTCCCTGGTGTTAACGCTAGAGGGGTTGAGATGACAATCCCAATGCCTGGGCATCCGATACCGCCCAGCGAGGTGGGTAAGGTCAAGCAGACGGTAAAGGATCTGGAAGAGCTGTACGACACGCATGATGCGGTATTCCTGTTGATGGACTCGAGGGAAAGCAGATGGTTGCCGACCGTGTTGGGGACGACGAAGAATAAGGTCTGTTCCCGCTTCACCCGTGGGGAAAAGGATGTTGTATTGATAGCATATAGTACGTCCTCAATGCCGCACTCGGATTCGATACCTATCTGGTGATGCGGCACGGCGCACGGGAAGGGCCTGCCCCTCCTCCTGAAGCTGGAGATCACCCCCAACATGCACGCCTAGGTTGTTACTACTGCAACGACATCGTCGCTCCCTCAGACGTATGTACGTTCTATCCCCCCTTGTGTATGCGCTGATCAGGTGTTATTCCAGTCCCTTACCGATCGTACGCTGGATCAGATGTGCACCGTCACCCGCCCAGGGCTGGCGCCTATCGCTGCGTCCACTGCTGTAGAACTTCTCGTGTCGATGGTTCAGCACCCCCTTGGGTACGTCTTTCCTCGAGCTCGATCCTAGCGTGTTCCTTATTGTCTTCATTTAGCATACACGCCCCTCCCTCGGCAGGAAAAGACGATGACGACCGCCATTCGGTACTTGGTGCCGTCCCCCATCAGCTGCGTGGTTACCTCGCCCGTTTTAATAGCATACCTATCACCGGTGCGGCGTATGAACGATGCACAGGGTGTAGTGACATTGTACGTTCTTTCTTTTATTCCACTCTTCCTTATATGCGCATATATCCGCGAGATGCTGATTTGTTCCTAGGCGGTGAAGGAGTACGAAAAGGAAGGATTCAACATGGTCCAGCGGGCATGTGACGAGACCGGCTATCTAGAGCAGCTAACGGGGCTCAAGGACTTGTACGACGAGAGCGACGCAGTGATGGAAGCTGTTGAATGGGACGGTGATGATGCGGAGGGGGATTTCTGAGTGGGGAAGGATTGAATGGTGAGATAGAGCAACGTCTGGGTTGATTGATGATACCTCTTCAGGAACGATATACCATGTTTTTAGTTGCATATTGTGCGTATAAGCAAACTATCTCAACTCACTTTGTAACGGGATCATCTCCCCGGTCAACGAATATCACGTCAGGCTGGTAGCGCTCACTCAACACTCCGGTTGTATTTAGTGCTTACTTGCCTGTCCTTCCATTTGGAGTGGTGGAAGGTCAACTTGGCGATACACTAGTTCGGTTGTGCTGTATCTCGTTTTGGGAAGAATACTCATACACTGTAGACTCGAACGGATGGAATCCATCGGGGAAGCGAGCTTACGCCCCCTTATCCGCGCCCTCTCCCAGCCCTTTACGCTCTTGGTCGCTCGCGTTCTTCGGGTCATCGACATTCTATCATCACCGGTCAGATGAATAACCCTTCATCAACCCAACCAATGACATACGGTGGCTTTATTGATCTCCGTCTCAGTTCCGGTCAGATCGATATCCTCTGCTTTCTTATACTCCTCATCCTTGGTGCCGAACAGGGACGACATGTTGAGGGCTTCGATGCTGATCTTTTATTTCGGCTCTGGTGACAGTACTAGAACTAAGCGTTGGTAGGGTATTTTACGGTGAACGATATACTCACAGAAGGTGACTGAAGGAGAAAGAGCAGTTTGCAGGCGGCGGAGAGCGGGGAGTTGCACCTTATATGTGAACGATTCATTGGTGACGTCATAAGCGGGGTGAAGGATCGAAATCCTATGGCGCTTCCGTCGGAGCCGAAGGGCGGACCTGCGGAAGAACTCCCGATCACCGGTGTGATCTCTGGACGATAAACTCTGGAATGGAGCAGAGTTCCCTACGCGAACAGCCCTGCATCATGGGGTTGGATAGGGCTGGGGTAGAACTGGAGTCCGCGGACAAGAAGGTAGATAAGCACTGTTCCTCGTTTAACAATGACATTCATAGAGGGAGGAAGGTTTGCTCACCTCCGCAGTTCAACCATTCCCAATTGATTCACGACCAACGAAATCGCAAGATCCCGCAACTGCCGGAGTTTGTAATTCCTAGCAGTTCGACGCCAATAGCCAGCACATCGAAGACGATGACTATCTCCGTCACCTCCATGGTGATCGCATTGACTTCTGCAAGGTCCGAAAGGCGCATAGACCATAGTCATACCCTACGGCTCGACGAGAATGTCGGATAATTGTGGCCCCGCTTCGCCGAGATGGAACTGTTCGTGAATGAGGACGGTGGGTGGGTGACTCTGCGGATGTGAGCTTCTGTTTGGGTAGGGGGGAGAGGTGTAGGTATGTCATGTGGGGAATTCCTTGCTTGTCCAGTCGCCTGATATAGATATGTATCATGCCAAGGGATAGACAGGCGGGGTAGTATCCACCTGAAGAAGTTATTGAATGTTATCGAACCTTAGGCCGAGCGCTACACATCGTAGGTGGAGTTCATGGGTGTCGAGATCGAATGGCCGATGCCAATGGTTTGTACAATCAACCGCCGATGTAGGCTGGATCGTTTTCAGGCATACACTGCAAGGTAGTTACACTACGCCTGAATAAAAGTCAGATCCGTCAATATTGAGCTTTTGCTATTTGCGTACCATCATGACCTGGGCAAGTCCGTCCCGGTGATTCTCTGGACGCGACAAAGAGGGATTGCGCGAGCCTTGAACATCTTACGGGGATTGACACTTCTCCAGGGGTTCGCGATGAAGACTTGTACAACGAATAAAGGCTCTGGTTGAGCGGACCGGCATGCGGTGTGAAGGGATGACGTATTTGAAGCGCGGGGCTGAGAAGCAGGTGCAGGAGTGAGCGTGTGTGCTGCTGTTGGGTCATTGGGAAGTCGGCAAATGTAGTTTTTTGCCATGCTGGGGGTGCGGGGAACCGGGGGGGAGGGGTGGCGGGGAAGCATAGGCGGATGGGAGAGGAAAGATTGGGTTACAGCGAGTGTAAGGGAGGAAGTGAGTGTAGCATGGGTACTTCCGAGAGGAGGCGGTTGAGAATGGTAGGATGCCCCAGCGTTGAGTTTGTCTGGTATTGCCTCCTGCGGCGGCTGTACAGTGGTGGATGTTGTACCGTGTGGTGGTTGATTAGGAAGTCGGCGATGATAAAGTGGAGATAGATCGTTAGTGGTGATAATGTGCCCTTCAGCAAGTGTCCCAAAGCTTCAGATGCCATTGAACCATATGTGGAGAGCTCGTGGGGTCAAGGACCAAGGGCAGATCCCCAGATTGAGCAACGATCAACCGCTGACCTGGGCCGAATCATCTTCAGGCGCATTTTGTGGCATAGCGGCCCAATACTAGGCCTATACTAGGCCTGAACCAAAGTTAGAAACACTAAAGCGGAATTGATAGCATTGGCGTACCTTTGTCATCTGCACACACGGGGCGAAAGCTCGACTCCGTCTACATGACGGTGATTCTTGGTGGTCAACGCGAAATTCATTGGGTGAATGTTCATCACCATGCGAGGATGGACACCTCTCACGGAATGGGGGATGGCGACTTCCATGCTGGATGGAGGATCGACCTGAGTGGCTGGGTATGCGGTGGGAAGGGACGGCATCCAGAAGGTTTGGCTTGGGGGTAAAGGTAAGAGGCTGGGAACTGAAGTGAGCGAGTATGTTGCTGATGATCGACGCGGAGACGAAGAAGGCACGTACATGAACCGTCTGCAGAGGGCGCTGCAGCGGCACGTCCGAAGCGGCGAGGATGCGAAGCGGCCGGGGTGTAGGAACAAACGAGATAGGGACAGGGAAAGTTGGAGGGCGGAGGGAGAGGTGTGAAGGTTGGTGGTTGAATGCTGCTGACGATGGCCATGGAGAAGAGAGCGTCGTGTGGATATCATAACCTGCCAGTTTGTCAGAACTAGTAGGAGGGAGGGAAGGGTACGCACCGTTATTGAAGGGAGGAAGATAGGCTGGTATCATGGGCTCCTGTGGATGAAGGTCATGGTCACATTCGACGTGGGATGAAAACATAGAATACGTACATCTCTGTGGCGACACCCGGCAGAGTACGCTTGAGAAGAAGTTCTTACAAGACGATGGGTTCGCGGAAGAGAGGCCACGGAGGGGCTAGTGATGGTTGACAGCAGGTCCATGTCTTCAGGGGTTGGCGACAGCGGATTCTATGACGGATAGAGGATATGGCTGATTGATCGGATACGCGGTAGGTAGGGACGACATGCGGAGAGCTTGGTGGTAAAGACAATCGAGAGGTTGGGAGTGTGATGAGTCCGCTGGGGAAAGTCGTAGGAGAGAGCGGAACGACGGAATCCGTTGGTACAGTGCGCCGCAGCATCCGTGAGGGGCGAGCCTGCGGAGTGGTGGGCGAGGCTTGTGGGAGAGGACGAGGCCAACGCTTGTGAAGATCGATAAAAGTACACTGCGGACGGGGTGCATATAGAAGAGAGTGCGCGGTGGATTCGTAACCTGCCAATCGATCACAACGTGCATTATGGGGCAGGAAGGTGTACTCACAATGCTGAAGGAGGGAGTCGGCAGGCGTCATATGCGCATGTGGATGAGATTCATGGTGGTGCCGACGACGAATGAGCACATGGGGTACGTCCACAATGGGCGCTTTGATTCGCGACAGGCGGTGTGCCATGCTTGAAAAGTCCTTGCAGCTGGACGGGGTGCGGAGGGGAGGCGACGGTGGACCAGTGCTGAGTGTTGACGACATCCACTTATGGGATGGGAGTGAGGCAAAAACATCCAGAGAGCGACATATCTAAGAAGTAAATCAGCTCGCAGTCAGTGTGATGTGAGAGGGGACAGCAGCAGACACAAGTGGCGTACCGGCAATATAGAGCGTTGAGCAAGGATAAGAACCTCTGAGAGAACCTTGATAAGACCGAGTTATAATCCTGTTCACTGCATCACACATACACCGAGCATCCATGATAGCGAGAGCAGTGAATTTAGTGGATATTCGTTCCTGGAAAACGTGTTAGAGCAGGGTGTGATGAGGGTGATCACACACCTTGGCTTCCAGCTAGAAGTGCAGGGTTCGTCCCCGACTTGGCGGTCAGTCACGGCTGGTACTATGGGAAAGGAGAGGATACGCACAGTTATCCAAGGTGGGAAGGCATGTATCATGTCCCCCTTTGCATTAATGCCAGGGTCATTCCGACGACCGGTGGACACGTACATACCAGGAGAAGTGGGAGGGGGACGAGAGACGGTGGAGGATGACGCCCGGGGGCAGGTATTCGGCATTATCCATGATGAATTAGTGTCGTGCTTCCGTAAGTAAGTAGGCATTTATTTGCAGATGGTGGTGGACGGAGGAAGGGGGCGCAAGGGGCGGTTTAGGGGTACGCATGGGCGGTTGGGATGTACTGCTGACGGGGTGCGCGAAGAAGGGAGTGAGGCGCGTTTCACAACCTGTCAGTTCGTCAGAACGAGTAGTAGCGAGAAGGGAAGGGTACGCACAGTTGTTCAAAGAGGAAGATACGCCGGCATTATCTGCTCATGTGGTAGGGGGTCGTAGTCATATCGACTTGCGATGAGAACGCAGAATACGTTCATAGAGGGTGCATCTGTTCGGCGAAATACGGTGGGTTACGCCAGGGGAAAAGTTCTTGTAAGATGATGGGGTGCAGAGGTGAGGCTACGGAGGACCAGCGCTAATTGTTGGCGGCAACTACATTCCCGGAATGTTAATTGGAAGAGACAGCCAGAGAGCAATAGTCCGAGCAGCAAGGGACCGACTCTGCTCATGGTCAGTGTGAGATGGGGTCGACATGAGAAGCTAGTGGAGCACCTGTGATATGGAGTACCCATACATGGAGTGATTGTAACAGCGAGAGATGTCAATTCAGTAGAGATCTCATGCCTGGAAACGCGTCAG